ACGGTAAAACTCAACTGTTTAACTCTAGGGGAGTTGGAAAATGACTTTTGGCCTAGCGTGTCAGATGTTCCGCATTTGGCCTTGAAATTTATTTTGGGTGCATCCCTTTTTTCTTATAATTAAGAAAATGATGGAGAAATAACTAGTAAAGATGCATTTGTGGGCAAAATGCTGAAGGAAATCTTGTTTTTGTTTCAGATCAACAAGCTCCTGTGTCAGTCCTTTGGCTGAGTGTGAAGCAGGTAGATTGTCCGCTCATCATTTTAATACAGCTTTGGCTTCTGCCTTGCAGTTTTATGATTATAAAACATATTCTATGTGTAAAATTCTAAATAAACCAGTGTGCTTTATTTTTCAGGGCCATCTGGGGACTGTCTGCCTTTGAAAAAGATCAAAACGGAGCCCCCAGATGGTGAAATTATCCAGGTGACAGTGCCAGGTATGGTCTCCCAGCCCCACAGTAAAGCTCACACTGAGAGTTTTAATATTTCAGCCTGGTACCTCAAGTTTTGTTCTCTTTTTGGTGTTATTGTTAGTTAACAACAATCATCTGTGCAGAAATTTAAATAAAGTTGTGAGTTGAAAGCAGCATGAAATCCCTGTAGGTCTACTGGATGGGAATGCATTAGCATATTTCACTTACTCACAGAGAGGAAGTGTGTGTCTGATGGTTGCCTTCTGATTTAAAAATATTTGCTCTCATTTTCCACCCTGCTGTGCAGTGATCTGAGCCTTTGAGGACAGGCAGGACATTTTGCACAAACTAAACTGGAGGAACATCATATACTGTATATGAACTGAAAATTTGAGCTCAAGTGCTGCTTGAACAATATTGAAAAACATCATTCTGATCAAATGTGACTTTTTACCTCGTCTTTACCTTCCGAACTTAGTTAAAGACCCTATTTATGTTAAAAATTAAAATCTTTAAATAGCTTTAATTTTAAATCAAAGTTTAAATTTCCCTCGCTTCAGCAGTGCACGTTATTTTCACAATCTTTCATCAATTTATTTTTTCCGTCTCTCAAACCACTTTTCAATACATCTACTTTGAAACACCTGTCAAACAGAGACCACTATTTATGATCCTGTCAATCCACGATGGATAAAAGCAGTTTCTGTGCATTTTTTTTTTTTTTGTCATTTAACATCCTGTTTCACTTGGAAATATGTTAGATTATGGAAGGACTATGAATGCTGCATCATGTTGACATTAAAATCAAATGGGGTCATATGTACTTTCTTAATAAATATCACTGGTTTATACAAAATGTTCAGCACTCACAGTCAGTGAGATTTTTTTTTTAAAGAAATTAATA